GTCCCTGGGAATGTGGGGAGGGGTCCCAATGGCATCAGAGGGCACCGGAGGGGGATTGGGTATGTGGGGAGGGGTCTCTGGGGCGTCTAAGGGGTTGCTGGTTACGTGGGGAGGGGTCCCAATGTCATCAGGAGGCACTGGCGGGTCCCTGGGAATGTGGGGAGGGGTCCCTGGGGTGTCTAAGGGGTCCCTGGGAATGTGGGGAGGGGTCCCAATGGCATCAGGAGGCACTGGCAGGTCCCTGGGAATGTGGGGAGGGGTCCCTGGGGTGTCTAATGGGTCGCTGGGCACGTGGGGAGGGGTTCCAAGGGCATCAGGGGGCACTGGAGGGGGATTGGGTGTGTGGGGAGGGGTCTTTGGGGTATCTAAGGGGTCGCTGGGCATGTGCAAAGGGGTCCCTGGGGTGTTTAAGGTGTCCCTGGGCACATGGGGAGGGGTCCCAATGGCATCAGGAGGCACTGGCGGGAGACTGGGTACATGAGGAAGGGTCCCTGGGGCATCTGAGGGGTCCCTGGATATGTGGGGAGGGGTCCTGGGGGCATCTGAGGGGGTCCCTGGATATGTGGGGAGGGGTCCCTGGGGTGTCTGAGGGGTCCCTGGGCTGGTGGCAGGGCACAGCCGGGTCCTGGGTGTCCCCTGGGGGCTGTGGGGGTCCCCTTCCCCCCCCACCCCGGTGACCCCTCCCCAAATCGGCAGGGAAGGAATACGCCAAGGCCGACAGCCGCTACATGACGTGAGTTGGGGACGCGGGGACACGGGGAGGGGTGGCCCGTCCCCGGTGTCCCCGGGTGACCCGCCACCCCGGGGTGTCCCCGCAGGAGCGATGACTTCACGGTGGCCATGGAGACGGTGACAGCCTGGGCCTGGGGTCCCCTCAGCTTCCTCACCTTCCTGGCGCTGCTGCGGCAGCACCCGGCGCGCTTCGTGCTGCAGCTCGTCGTGTCCCTGGGTACGGCGCGGTCACGTCCCTGTCCCCCTCAGGCTGTCCCTGTCCCCCCCAGGCTGTCCCTGTCCCCCC